GGGTCGCGGGGCAGCGCCGGCATCAAGAAGAATACGTAACACCCCGCGATTTTGGATCAGAGTGAGGGGGCGGGCGCGGGCGTCGAGCCCGCGGACCTCGTGGCCCTCGCCTTCCCTGTCGATGGCGCCCTCCTCTTTCTCCTCCTCCTCTTCCTCGATCGGATCGGGGGAATGGCACGGGGGTGCTTTCGCAAACCAATGCGAGCAAGCCCGCCGCAGGCGCCGATTTCCGTGCTCTGACAAGTTCTGCGCGGGGGGGATCGCTGGTGGGCCACCCGGAACGGATGCAGAAAAAACCCGCCGCAGGCGCCGAATGTTGGGTTTGTTCAGTGAACGCAGTTTGGGTCGCGGGTGGGTCGCGGGCTCTCCACCTCCACCTGGAAGGGGTTGGAAAAGAGCCCGCCGCAGGCGCCGAACATTTTGATGTGTACACTGAACGCGGTGTGGGTCGCAGGTTTTCCACCTGGAACGAATGCAAAAGAAACCCACCGCACGCGCCGAAGTTTTGGTTTGCTCAGTGAACGCAAGTTGGATCGGGGATGGGTCGCGGGCTCTCCACCTCCTTGAACAAATTGGAAAACAGCCCGCCGCAGGGGCCGAACATTTTGATTTGTACACTGAACGCAGTTTGGGTCGCGGGCGGGTTGCAGGTTTTCCACTTGGAACGAACGCAAAACAAACCCGCAGCAGGCGCCGAAAATTTTTGGTGGGTCGCGGGTGGGTCGCGGGTGCGTCGCGGTGGGTCGCGGGTGGGTCGCCGGCGCGGTTTGGGTCGCTGGTGGGTCGCAGGCTTTCCACTTGGAACGAATTCAAAAGATACCCGCCGCAGGCGCCGAACATTTTGGGTGGGTCGCGGGGTGGGTCGCGGGTGGGTCGCGGGTGGGTCGCGGTGGGTCGCGGGTGGGTCGCGGGTGGGTCGCGGGTGGGTCGCGGTTGGGTCGCCGGGTGGGTCGCGGGGGGGTCGGCGGTGGGTCGCGGGGGGGTCGCCTGGGGGGTCTCGGGATGTGTCGCGGGTGGGTCGCGGGGTGCGTCGCGGGTGGGTCGCTGGTGGGTCGCGGGGAGGGTCGCGGGTGGGTCGCGGGGTGGGTCCGCACGGCGGATCCGCATTTCATCCACACATCCATGGACGCTTTTGCATATACATATACATAAACACATATATATATATACACATACATATATACGCATATATATATATATATATACATTCGCGTATGTATTATATATGCATAACATATGCGTTTGCATAGCTGACATAATGGCTATAAGATGTCTGCACGCATCCGTCAGAGAGCCAAACAGTTTCACACCGTCCTCTGGTGCGTTTTTGCAGAGTGGTTTGCGATTTTCTCTCGTTGGAATGTTATTGTCGCTCGTAGCCCTCCTCCTGCGACCCAGCGCGGCCCGACGGCGACTCGCTCTCGCCGCGACCCAACCGATGCTCGCCCGCCCCGCCGCCCACCCGCCCCGCGACCCACCCGCGGCCCACCCACGTTCCATTCGTTTCGCCCCCGGCACTTCCGCGACTTAGCCGCGACATTGCGTTCAACAAATCTGAGCCGGCGGCAGGCCGACCCATCCACATTACATCGGTCTCAAGAGAAGGATCGGCACGTGCGGCGGGTTTGTTTGCAGTGGTCTGGGTGAACCCATTGCGCCCCAGTTCAGGCTCCCTTTCATTTTTATTTGGAACCGCGGGGGGGTATACGTAGCACCCCGCAATTGCGGATCAGACTGAGGGGGCGGGCGCCGGCGACGCGGGCGTCGAACCCGCGGACCTCGTGGCCCTCGCCTTCCCTGTCGATGGCGCCCTCGTTTTTCTCCTCCTCTTCTTCCTCGCTCGGATCGGGGGAATGGCACGGGGGTGCTTTCCCAAGCCATTGCGAACAAGCCCGCCGCAGGCGCCGATAGGCGTGCTCTGACAAGTTCTGCGCGGGGGGGATCGCTGGTGGGCCACCCGGAACGAATGCAGAAAAAACCCGCCGCAGGCGCCGAATGTTGGGCTTGTTCAGTGAACGCAGTTTGGGTCGCGGGTGGGTCGCGGGCTCTCCACCTCCACCTGGAAGGGGTTGGAAAAGAGCCCGCCGCAGGCGCCGAACATTTTGATGTGTACACTGAGCGCGGTTTGGGTCGCAGGTTTTCCACCTGGAACGAATGCAAAACAAAACTGCCGCAGATGCCGAATTCTGGGATCCTTTAATGAACGCAGTTTGGGTCGCGGGTGGGTCGCGGGCTTTCCACTTCCACCTGGAAGGATGTCAGAATTTTGATTTGTACACTGGACGCAATTTGGGTCGCGGGCTTTCCACATGGAGCGCATGCAAAAAAAAACTCGCCGCAGGCGCCGAACAGTTTGGGTGGGTCGCGGGGTGGGTCGCGGGTGGGTCGCGGGTGGGTCGCGGTGGGTCGCGGATGGGTCGCGGGCGCGGTGTGGGTCGCGGGTGGGTCGCAGGTTCTTCATGTGGAACCAAGTCAAAAGATACCCGCCGTAGGCGCCGAAAATTTTGGGTGGGTCGCGGGTGGGTCGCGGGTAGGGTCGCGGTGGGTCGCGGGTGGGTCGCGGGGTCGCGGGTGGGTCGCGGGGTGGATCGCGGGTGGGTCCCGGGTGGGTCGCGGGTGGGGTCGCGGGTGGGTTGCGGGTGGGTTGCCCGGGAGGTCTCGGGGTGGGTCGCGGGCGGGTCGCGGGGTGGGTCGCGGGTGGGTCGCTGGTGGGTCGCGGGTGGGTCGCGGCGTGGGTCGCGGGGTGGGTCGCGGGTGTGTCGCGGGGTGGGTCGCGGGGTGGGGCGCGGATGGTTCGCGGGGCGGGTCGCGGGTGGGACGACGACACCAACAAGCAACACACAACAACAATAATCTGCATCGTGGAGTACCACTTCAGCCACGCACCTAGGGACAGCGAACGACCTTTCGGTTCAGCGCCCTCACTTTGATACATATATATATACATATATATATACATACATATATATTTATCAACATGTGTATATATATATGTAGATATATCCAAGATTAGTAAGACGATGACAATAATAATAACACTACTATTAAAAAAGAAGAATAATACTAATACAAATGGTAACACAAATGGTAATAGTAATAACAATAGTAATGATAATAATATTAATACTACTAAACATAATAATATGTTTCATTTGTTTGGGTTTTTGTTCGGGCTTCGCTGGCGGCCCGAATGGCGGACTCGGCATCTGTTGGAGGCTCGTATGGTACATTGGAAACATTTGGAGCCTCCGTTGATTGCTGGGCCAGCGTGGGCTGGTTGTCGGGCATTTTGCAGCCGTTTGGGGCAGCTCTTGGCTGTCTTGGGGTCGGAAGGAAGTAGTAGAGAACGACGCGAGAGAGGGACATCGACTTTGTAGCCAGTCCGATGGTTGAGAATTAATTAAGAAACACATTCAGATTCCTCAGTCGTGCAAGCACGGCGGCGGATCTTCTCTATGCGCTTTGAGTGAACCAGGTCTGGTTGGCCCGCGATTCGCAGTAGCCAGCCAGTTCGCATTGTCCGTCGGAGCTTCTGCATTTGATGCGTTCGGCATGAATAAGCACGTCCTCCTGACCACGCTGGTGCTGGCAAACGCAATTTCGGCGGGGTTCGCCCTCACAGACCGAATCACAGGGAGGCCTTCTTTCGTGGTCATTGACTCGACCGAGGCCGGGCGCGGATTCTTTGCGGACGCCTCCAGGCCCATTAATTACCGTGTGTCGGGGGCGCTCATTGTTCGGAGGAGGTAGAGTTGCCAGGGGAGGAGGAGGAGGAGGAGGAGGAGGAGGAGGAGGAGGAGGCGGAGGAGGACGAGGAGTTGTTGTGTGTGTTCGTGGGTGTTTGCGCACGCTGCTGGTGGAGGCAGGAGCTGACCTGTAAGACCAGAGGGGTCTCCATTATCGGAGTTAGCGGGCCGAATGGTCATTCCCTGTCCTTGGGAGTGTGGCTGAACTTGGATTCCGCGGTGCGGATTGTTGTTGCGTTGTTGTTGTTGTCATCCTCGCCCGCGACCCCACCGCGAACAACCCGGGATCCACCCTCGACCCCTCCGCGATCTCCCCGCGACCCACCCCACGACCCACCCGCGACCCACCGGCGACCCTCCCCGCGATCCACCTGACCCACCCCACGACGTACCTGCGACCCACCCGCGACCCACCCACGTTGTTTAGACGAAGCAATCGGCGCTTGCGGTGGGCTGGATGTTGGAAAACAATTGGCGACTGCGGCGGGCTTCTTCAGAGCTTGGCAGACTACAGACGATCCCGCTGCCCCCTCATTCCTACAGTGTCCGCACTTGCGGGGGGGGGAAGTAAGACGGAGCGGGCCTTTTCAGAAAGCTCGGAAGTTCCAGGGCCTTTGAGAATTGTTCTAAACCTTCCCAGAAGACAGAACACTTTCTCCGTTGGCGCGAGGGTTTCTGAGAAGTCCCGCCACCTTCTGAGAAGGCCTTCTCCTTCTCGTTTCCCCCCCCCTTGCTCGCCGCCGAGTAGGGGGCACCATGGCCACCACCAGTGAGGATAAACCTATAGGTTCGCGGGAACCTGGTCGTACACCATGGTGCTTCAACAAACCAGTGCAGTCTGTTGATCCATTAGTCCATCATCGTCAGAGCCATTCCCACCCCCACCAGGACGGAATGCTAGTTGGCGGCGAGCGAGAGGGGGAAGTGAGAAGCTCGAATAAGAAGGCTTTCTAAGAAGGTGTCGGGACTCCTCACACCTTCTGAGAAGTCTTCTGTGTCTCGGGGGAAGGCTTTGGAAGCTTCTCAGAAAGCTGGGGGACTTCGAGCCTTCTGAGAAGGCAAGCCCCTTCTCACTTCCCCGCCGCGCTCGCCGCCAAGTTAGAGCTTCCCCAGCGTTACCACTTCAATTGAGTTGGGGATTGACATACCGCGAACCCCGAATGAGACGGCACTCGTCCCCGCCAGCGGAGGGTAAAGGTCGACCTTTGGGGCCAAGGTGGGGATGGTTTGTTTTCTCCAGATTCTGGCGGCCCCCTCGGCTTAGTGGAAAACCTCGAGCACGAAAGAACCTCCAACCCTGATAACACGATGAAGACGTGGCCTCACCAAGGTCCCCGTCTTCGCCTCAGGCATTATATCTCTGGGCGGTCTGGTCTGACACATCTGCAGAACAGACCCAGAGGGCCAGGGTTAAGTCGGGCCTGTCCCCCTACAGAGGGATTTTCGACGAAAAATAAAAAATACCCCAAACATAGTAAAAAAGATAGTCCAAAAATAGTCTTGGAACTATTTGTTGAGTATTTGTTGACCTTTTTGGTGCACTTTTGGGGTATTTCCTATTTTTCGTCAAAGCTCCCCCTGTAGGGAGGGGGACACGCCCGACTTCAGGCCAGGGGCCCATTCTTGCTGCACCAGGAAAGGCGGGCTCCCTGCATCCGCTTACGGGCGACCTCGCTCGCGCCTCCCGTGACCGACGGCACCGCGGAGCCCGCGCTGCCCCTCTCCGGGGAGCCGCCGGAGGAGGAGTGGAACCTCTTCGACGATCGGCCTGCTGCCTCGCCGGATCCTGGAGCGCCGGCCGCTGGCGGCGGCGGCGGCGAGGTCCAGCGGCTGGGGCTGAAGGCCCGGGGGCGTAAGCGAAGCCAGCTGCGCGACGTCAGGGCCGGGGCAGCTCGCTCCGATGCAGCCGCGAGGGGCTTTGGGGGGGCCGTCATCCCCCCACCGTCGTCTCCCAAGGAGGAGGAGGAGGAGGAGGAGGAGGAGGAAGAAGAGGGTGCTAGTGGGCGGATGAGGAAGACATTAATGGCCGAGGATGAGGGTGCTAGAGGGCGGGGAGGAGGGATGATGGTGGAGGCAAGACGGAGGAGCAGCCATGGCGGGGGCGGACGACGACGTGCGAGGAACTGGATGGACCAGCGAAGGTGGAGATGACGAGGAGGAGGTGAAGGAGGTGAGGACAGAGGGAGACTACCGAGAAGATGATGGGCCAGGGTGGAGGAATGAGCTTGTAGCAGGAGCACGATTGAGGACGTTGGGCTCGAGGGAGGGGGGAGCAGGGAGGCGGCTCGGCATTGGCAGCAGATGTGTGGGAGCATCATGGGCACAAGCCCCCGACCTGCTCGGTTTACTCGGCCAGAGACCGAGCTTCGCTCTGGAATCTAGCATGGTGCAAAGGGGTTAAAGGGGGGCAGCATGAGGACGAGGAGGAGGAGGAGGGAAGTGGTGGATGAGGAGGTGGGAAGGGGTGACGGACAGGAAGAACCTTTGGGGATAATGAGGTGGGAGGTGGTTGGGAGGAAGGTGGGAGAGGAACAGAACGAGGATCACGACGAATGGGACGAAGGAGAGCAATGACAAAATAATACTGGAATATGGGAGCGGGTGGATGACAGGAAGAAGAAAGAGACGGATGTGGATGTGGAAGGGCGCGAAACGGAGGATCACGAGGAGGTGTTGGAGGAGGAGGAGTTCGAGTGGGAAAAGGAGGAATATGGGGACGGGAGGCGGCGGGGTACAAGGAGGAGAGGCAGAGGTGGAGGTGGAGAGAAGGGGAGGAGGAGGAGGCAGAAGGGAGGTGAAGACGGCGGAGGTACATTCGAGTTGACCAAAGGGTCCAGCGACAAGGGGGTGGTGCAATAGATTCGGTGCAATAGATTTGTGGGGTTGCAATACATATGGGGCGTGCAATGCCTTTCGGGGCGCAAGTGTATTGCTGTATAGTCGCACGCGATGCATTACTTGCAATACAATGCAATGCAGTTCTCTAGCAATGCATTTGCAATACACTTGCCCCAAATCTATTGCACCACCCCCTTTCAGCTGGACCCCCTTTTGGGCCACCCGAATACATGGAATGGAGAGTAGACGGGGGCCCAAAAGGGGAGCAGGGGCAGGAGACGGACACACAGCAAGTCCACAATCAGCCAGAGCGCCCTTTTGATGGCCTGCAGGTATGCTGCGCTGCTCCTCCTCCTCCTGCGCCTTCTTGAGCCCCCCTCCCTCTTCCGCGCCCCCGCAGGACCGCACCATGGTCGCAGCTGCGACTCTGGAGGCCCCGCTTCGCCGGCGAGACCGCCCCGGCGCGGCCCGCGTCGCCTGCGCGCCGGTGTCCCCCGCGGCCCTCGCGCTCACGGGCGGCTGCCTCGGCCTCTGGGTCCTGGCGGCCTGCGGCACGGCCAGCTGGGATGCCCTCCTGGCGCCCGGCGGCTCCGGTCTGTCCTCTCCTCCGGCCCGTCCTGCCTCCTCCCGCTCGCCCCCGCTATACCTGGCATCGCTCGGACGTGTGCGTTTTTTCTTCGGCGAGGACCATCGAGGAGCATCCTTGATCATCTGGCGAAAACACCACGCACGAAACCGAACAAAAACACAGGGAATGGACGTCCGAGCGATGGCCAGTATATATGTCGCAGGAGGACAAGCGGCAAAAACATAAACTTTTGGCGCTCCGCGCGGATTGCTCGGGTCCGCGCTGCAGGCCCCCCCAGCGGCTCCTCCGGCGCCGCCCCTGGCGCGCCCTGCGCGCCTGGGAGGGGGGTCCGGCGCAGATCCAAGATGTCCGCGCGGAGCGGCAACAGTGTATGTTTGTGGCGCTTTTGTTTCTTCTACCTGTCTCCTTCCGCTCGCCCTCTCTATCCCCCCCCTGCCCCCCCACATCCCTCGTCGCCCGGCCCTTCCTTCCCGCTTCCCTGCCTCCGTTCCAACCCCCCCATCCACCTTCCTCCCTCTCCTGGTCACCCGTGCCCCATCCAACCTCCCTCCCACGTCCTTCCGCCGCCCCGCCCCCTCTTGATTCTAGGCCTCCTGGATGGGGGCCGGAGTAGATGGGGTCGGATGATCGCGCCGCATCGCCGATGAATCGCCGATGCTGCTCGATGAGGAGCCCGATTTGCTTCATGTCGACGTCGCCGATGCATCGCCGACGCCGCCATCGGCGATGCATCGCCGCTGCATCGCCGGTGCATCGGCGATGCGGCGCGAGATCCTTGGACCCCATCTCTGCTCCGACCCCATCCGAGGAGGCCTCTATGGATACCTGTCCCCTTCCTTTTCCTCCTCATTCCTTTCCCCTTCCTTTTCCCCCTCCTTCTCCTTTTCCCTCCTCCTCCTCCTCCTCCTCCTCCTCCTCCTCCTCCTCCTCCTCCTCCCCCGTCCTCTCCTCCTCCCCCTTCCTCCTCCTTCTCCCCCTTCCTTCCTCCTCCCTCCTCCTCCTCCCCTTCCTTCTCTTCCTCCTCCTCCTCCTCCTTCCCCCTCCTCCTCCCTTCTCCTCCTCCTCCTCCTCCTCCTCCTCCTCCGCCTCCTCCCCCCCTCCTCCCCCTTCCTCCTCCTCCCCTCCTCCCGCTTCCTCCTCCTCCCCCTCTTCCCCCTTCTCCTTCCCCCTCCCTCCTCCTCCTCCTCCTCCTCTCCTCCTCCTCCTCCTCCTCCTCCTCCTCCTCCTCCTCCTCCTCCTCCTCCTCCCCCATTCCTCCTCCTCCTCCTCCTCCCCCTTCCTCCTCCCTCTCCCTCCTCCTCCTCCTCCTCCTCCAGCCTTCCCCTCCTGCGCTGCCCATTGGGGTGGCGGGGGGCGTGCAAGCTGGGCCCCGGACCTCCGACGTCCTGCCGGTCGCGTGTTTTTTTATTTCTGCGTACACGCACACACACACGCACACACACACACACACACGCACACACACACAGACGCACACACACACACAGACACGCACACAGGCACGCACACACACACACACACACACACACACACACACACACACACACACACACACGCACACACGCACACACACACGCACACACACACACACACACACACACGCACACTCACACACACCACACACACACACACACACACACACACACACGCACACACGCACACACACACGCACACACACGCACCGACCTCGTACGCTTCGCGCGGACCTCGTTCTCCAACATTTTCAGGGTCTTCGTCTCCCCCCCTAATTTTCCCCCATGGTTTCCCATCTCTGCTGGGGAGATCCGTTGTGTCTGTGTTTTTGTCCCCTCCCGATGTTTCTCGGGCTCCTGGGACAAGACGCAGTCCTCCAGTGACCCACGCCAAGACAGTCGAAGAAATATAAACGACATAAGCATAAACCTTTGGCGCTCCGCGCGGATTGCTCGGGTCCGCGCTGGGCCCCCCCGGCGGCGCCTCTGGCGCCGCCCCTGGCGCGCTCTGCGCGCCTGGGAGGGGGGTCCATCGCAGATCTAGGAGGCCACGCGGACCATCAATGTTATTACAGATCTGCAGTTTTTTCTTCTAGACGGAGCGGCCGTCTTCCGTTTTTCAGGACGCCGGATGTTTCGGGGTGAGAGGGCGGATCGGAGCTGTGGTTGCCAAGAGGGCGCCCTACCGTCTGGAAGAGCATTGGCCAGAAGGTGCCGGAGCTCGTGCGGTAACGCTCACCTCAGAGGGGCCATTGTCGAGATTGTGTTCGTTTCTTCCTCGTCGTTTCGCTCCTCGCTGCTTGTATCTCCTCGGCGTCTTCCTCCTTTCCCTCATCGTTTCTCGTTTCCTACCTGCCTCGTTCCGCGTTCTGTCTTATGTTCTGGCGTTCTCAGACTTCCTGACCCATCCTTCATCTCGTCTCCTTCCTCATGTTCCTCAACCTCACGCCGCCTCCTCCGTATCCTCTGTCTATTCTGAAGCGGCCTCCCGCTCCCTCGTCCGCCATCCTCTTGTCTCTCCTCTTCCTTCTCCTCCTTACCCAATTCTTCATCCTCCTTCGTTTCTCTCAGATTCCTTCTCCCTTCGCCCTCCCTTCTTCGTCGGAAGGCAGAGCAGACTGTGCAGTTGTCAAGCACACCGCAGAGGGATCCTCGTTGGGACAGGGCTCGCTTCCATTTGATGACCGTCATCATATGGTCGCACTGGGTGGGCAAGTGGGGCCTGCAAACTACCAAGGCTGGCTGGGTGGTTCTCAACTGGGCTTTCGCCGTGCATGTCATAGGCTTCATTTTCCTCTCGGGCGCGTTCTCCACAAGATACGCCATGAAGGTGCAAGAGAGAGGCTGGAAAGAGTGTGTTCCTGTGCTTTGGAATTGTCTGGACGTGTTTCTGGTGTACCTCACTTTCTCATGGCTGCGTGGCGTCGTTTCCATCTCAATGGATAGCTCACATCCTAGTGCGCACTGGATCATGACTCAGACTCTCAAGGGCACATTTGCATTTCACCAAGCACCATGGTACCTCTCCGCACTTATAATGTGGAGATTGTCTGCGTTCCTCCACTGGCGCGTACCTGGCATGCTGGTGTTATCGCTGTTGATTGGCGCGCTCTGCCCGTACGAAGCGCTGAATAAGGCCCACGATCCATTCGCAATCCGCGAGGTAATGCACTACCTGCCCTTCTTCACACTCGGAATCCTCTGCGGCCAGGAGAGGCTCGAGCAGATGATCGACCTCTGCGGGAAGTGGCGAGCGGTTGTCGGCCTGGTGGTGCTGGCCGGCCTCGCGGCCGTGATATGCATCCCGTTGGGGCCCATGTTCGACGATCCCACATTGCGCTGGGTTCTGCTCAAGAAGGACCATGAGACCCCCGACTCGCCCCTCGCCCTCCCCTCCGTCACATCCCCCATCGCTCCCTCCCCTTTCCCTCTCTTACAAAACGATGGCCCGACCTGACTCGAAATTCGCGTCACATCCTGGCAATGCTTCAGAGCATCACATGCAAGCATTGCCGCACAAGTCGCTTCGCACTGGTCCTGTAAGGAGGACTGCAGGGCCAGTTTTCCCCCCAGCAGTGCTTGCACTGGGGGCCCCACTTCCCTTGTTGGGAACTGGGCCCGTCCGCCGCCCCAGCGGTCCCACTCACATCCGTCGCCGATCCATGTTTCCCGGTACAAAGCCCGTCTGCCGCCCAGGCTCGGGGGCGGAAAAGAGGGGGGTGATGACTGGGGGGGTGGATATCATGGCGCGGGCCATGATATTTCCCCCGATTTTATGGCGCCTCTTCTTGTTTCACTACGTCCCTGGCCCCCCCCCCGCTGGGCCGCGCACATGCCGCCGGCCATGATTCGCACCCCCCCCTCTTGGACGCCCCCCTCTTGGCCGCTCCCTCCGCCCAGGCGGCCCGGTTCCCGCCCGTCTGCGCCGCCCCACTGCGCCCCCCTCCCGCCCCCCCGCTGCAGCATTCTGCCGTCGCCCTGCAGTGCCATCGCACGGCATCGCACTGCAAATGCAATGCAGCCGCACTGCACTGCAGTCGCTCTACCTTGCACTGCGATCGCAGCCATCGCATTGCAGTGCCATCGCCCTTCATCGCACCGCAGTGCAGCCGCATTGCGCTGCAATCGCTCTACCCTGCACTGCGATCGCAGAGTGCATTGTCTTGCGTTGCGTTGTTTCGCGTTGCCCCTCGCTGCTCTGCATCATTTCGCATACGTGCATTGATTTGCACTGCAGTTCATGGCTTTGCAGTGCTTCGCGTTGGTCTGCATCGCGTTGTCTTTCGTTGCCTTGCTGACTATGGCATTGCATTGATTTGTATTATATAGTTTACATTGCGCTGCATAGCAATGCATTGCGCTGTGTCGCGAAACATTTCTATACATTGCGCTGCTTTGTACCAAATTTATTGTACCAAATGGATTGATCCACTATCTTGCACTACCCTGCCTGCAACAAAAACACTGTTCACGGTCCATGCAGGCGAACTTCAAGATTTTAGCATCTCTGGCGATAGCGGGCGTTACCAGGGGGGTGAAAGGGCCTGCGACGTAACGATTCGCGCCCGCGCCGACTGGGAAGGCCAAGGAATAGCCAAGGTTTTGATATTCCAACCGATTTCTAGCCTTGACCACCAAAAACCGTTTTGAGCACCAAGAAAGTACCGACATTGGAGGGTTGTAACGTTTCGGGCCCTTGGAGGCGATACTCTTTCGACACTGTTCCAGTACTCTTTTGGGTGCTCGAACTAATTTTGGGGATGTGGTCCTTGAGTACGATGGAAGCAACATAAAGCCAGGGACGGTTTGGAAACGAGACGGGATCTGTTATGGCAGACAGTGCACTTGCGAGCACCACAGTGGCCTTTGAGCACCACATGTTTGTGGGGGGCGGACAGACCCACCCTGACGCGTCGAATAGTGAATTGTTCTATTTTGGTTCTCGAGAGGGCGCCGCGGCCGTCATTTTCCGGGCTGGCGCCCGCCAGGTGTGGGCCTGAGGTCGTTTTTACGAAGCCGCGTTTTACTGAAGAGGGCTTTGTCCATCCCCAAGTTTGCCCAGTGCCATACAATGGGGACGCATCGCAAGAAACCATCTGCTTTTCGTCAGGGTACCCTGGGTTTTCTCGCTCCGCGTGCTGCGTGGTGACTTCCAGCGGCCACTGGAGGAGCTGCTGCGTTCAGGGTGCTCCAGGTTTCCCCTCTGGTGCCGTTCGCGCGCGGGCTTTCAAGGTTGGGTTTCTTGCGAGGGTTTCTTGCGAGGGTGTCTTGCGGCCGCGCTCGTACTGTAAGGAGGACGAGGACGGCGAGAAGAGGAGGGGGATGCCCCGAGGTGTCCCGTGGTGTCCCGTGGTGTCCCGTTGTGTGAGATCGATAGTGAGATCGACAGGTGCCCCGTGGTGTGCCGTGGTGTCCCGTTGAGTGAGATCGATAGTGCGATCGATTGAGTCAGATGTTGGTTCCCCCCTCTTCCCCCCCCCACAACCTCCTTATCACCCGAAGGGTGGTCGTATAGGTCAGGAGGATCAGGACGGCGAGGGTCGGGAGAAGGAGAAGGAGGAGAAGGAGGAGGAGGAGGAGGAGGGGGAGGAGGAGGACAGCGAGAAGAGGCGGCGGGAGGAGAGCGACGCCGAGGCCGCCTCCTCCCTCGGGCCCCGGGGCGCCCGGGCCCCTCCCCAGGGCACGGGCCGGTGACGGCGGTGTGCTCGAGCAGGCCGTCTCGGCCTCTCCACGTCTCCCTCGCCCTGTCCTCCTCTGTCCCTCCCTCCTCCCCTCCCTCCCTCCCCTCCCCTCCCCTCCCCTCCCCTCCCCTCCTTCCTTGCCCTTCCCCCCTCCGCCCTCCTTCCCTCCCTCCCTCCCTCCCTCCGTCCGTCCCTCCCTTCCTCCTCCCTGCCCCCTCCCTCGGCCCGATCCTCCCACCTCCCAAACTTCCCTCCCTTCATCTGCCCTTGTGTGAAGCACCTTGCAGTACAAGGAGGACGAGGATGACAAGTTTAAGTGGGGGAGGTGGAGGAGGAGTTGGAGGACGACGACGACGTTGGGGGTAAGGAGAAGGGAGGAGGATGCAGGGTGAGGGATGAGCGAGGGGCGAGCAGGACGAGAAGGAGGAGGATCCGCGAGTAGGACAGCCCCAGTTTACTCTCAGCGATCCTCTGTGTCGCTGCGCTTCGCTACCCGTAGCTGAGCGTAGCAGAGACATCGCATCACCCCCCGAGCTCCCGCCCATTCTTCCTTCCCAGCGATGGAGGGTCGCCTGGGAGCACCTGGGAGCGCCTGGGGAGCGCCTGGGAGCGCCTGGGAGCGCTTGGGAGCGCCTGCGAGCGCCTGGGAGCGTCTGTGTGTGTGTGTGTGTGTGTGTGTGTGTGTGTGTGTGTGTGTGTGTGTGTGTGTGTGTGTGTGTGTGTGTGTGTGTGTGTGTGTGTGTGTGTGTGTGTGTGTGTGTGGTGTGTGTGTGTGTGTGTGTGTGTGTGTGTGTGTGTGTGTGTGTGTGTGTGTGTGTGTGTGTGTGTGTGTGTGTGTGTGTGTGTGTGTGTGTGTGTGTGTGTGTGCGTGCGTGCGTGTGCGTGCGTGCGTGCGTGCGTGCGTGCGTGCGTGCGTGCGTGCGTGCGTGCGTGTGTGCGTGCGTGTGTGTGTGTGTGTGTGCGTGTGTGCGTGTGTGCGTGTGTGCGTGTGTGCGTGTGTGCGTGTGTGCGTGTGTGCGTGTGTGCGTGTGTGCGTGTGTGCGTGTGTGCGTGTGTGCGTGTGTGCGTGTGTGCGTGTGTGCGTGTGTGCGTGTGTGAGTGTGTGTGCATGCGACCTGCGAGCGCCACGGCGTGCTTCCGAACACCGCCGTACAGCGCATCCTGTGCGCCTCGCCAAACACACGCGGTGGCAGCCGGCCGCTGTGGCGAGGCCGACCGCTGTGGTGCGAGCACAGCCCCAAAGCAGCCGGCGAGCAGCGCGGCGTGCTTCTCGGGGGTGGGCAGACCTCCTACCCTTACCAGCCTGGAACATATCCCTATCCCTATGCTGGGCATCTCTTCATCACGATGCCAATCTTAGGGATTCCCTAATTTTTTGAGGGCGCATCCCTAAGATTGTCATCGCTTTTCGGCATGTCAATCTTAGGGATAGGGATATGTTCGAGGCTGGTAATACCCTGACACGCCGATTGAGGAATTGTCCGTTTTCGGCTTGCGAGAGGGCGTCGGGGCCGTCATTTTCGCGGGTCCAGGTCCGTCGTTTTCGGCCCCAGGCCGTTTTCACCAAGGGGAGGTTCACGAAAGGGAGGTTTGTCCACCGCCGAGCTTCAGAGCACCGCACCCGAACACCCTCCCCGTGCCTTTCCAAGCACGCGGTGGCTGCTGGCCACTGTGGTGAGGCAGGAGCGCGCTCTTCTGTGGCAGATCTGTCGAGGGAGGTGCTGCCAGCACTGCCCTGTTAGGTGTCCGCAGGCATTCCCAGACGGCGCCGGCGCGAGTCGTCACCTCACCAGTCGGGGCTCAGGGCCCCCTCGAGTCATAGAAAAAGTCACGACGGGTTTTTTTTCGCACTGTTCGGCCTCCGGGGGCCTTCTTTGACGACGACGACGACTGCCCTTCCGAGACGGCGGCAGTCGTCGTCATCGTCGTCGTCGCCGTCGTCAGCGCCGCTCTCGTCGTCGTCGTTGCCGGCGTCGTCTTTGCCGTCGTTGTTCGGGGCTCAGGAGTCGGGGGGTCAATGCAGACGGGGGTCAGTCAGAGCGCCGGGATCTCGTAGGATCCTACAAAACCATGGGTGCACTGACCCGGGCTCGGGCGCAGGATCCTGCAGGATGCTGCTAGATCTTGCCGGATCCTTTGACGCCTGATGTACCCAGGTTTGCATTGACCCGGATCAGTGCGTCCCTGGACCAGAGTGGCCTCCTCCTCCTCCTCGTCCTCCTCCTCCTCCTCCTCCTCCTCCTCCTCCTCCTCCTCCTCTCGGGTTGACCCAAAAGGCGGTCCAGCGACAAGGGGGTGCTGCAATATATTTGGTTATATATATATATATACACACATACATCCATCCATCCATCCATCCATCCATCCATCCATCCATCCATCCATCCATCCATACATACATACATACATACATACATACATACATACATACACATACATACATACATACATACATACATACATACATACATGTGGGGTTGCAATACATGTGGGCGCGTGCAATACATTTCGGGGCACAAATGTCATGTTGTATTCTCGCGTGCAGTACATTACCTGCAATACAATGCAACACAGTTCTCCGGCGCAGTACACTTGCAACTGCACCACCCCCTTCCAGCTGGACCCCCTCCTGGGTCACCCCAAATCTTGCCCCCCCTCAATCGTGGCCCCCCATCGTGGTCCCCGATCGTGGTCCCCCCGATCGTGGCCCCCCCGATCGTGGCCCCCGTATCGTAGCCCCCCATCAGGGCCCCCCATGGTGGCCAACCCTTCGTGGCCCCCCACCGCGACGGCGTCGAGCTGTTCCGGCTCTGTTGCCGCAGGGGTGTCGTGCCTCCATCCCTGCCGGGGTCGCCCAGACGCTCGTGCGCCGTGGAGGGCCTGGCCTTCGTTGCCCGTGCGCAGGCAGTGTGTTCGTTCCTTTGTTTTGGGTGCATCTGTCCCCCAGGTCGAGGCCCGTCTTGCAGAACCCACGACGGGAGGGTGCAGCAGGTTGGGCATTACACTAATGCCACCAACTCCGACTTGACGCGCGCATCCGGGCTTTCAATTCAAACTGCCGTGTCCTCTTGGTGTCACGTGTAGGAATTGCGCCAACACCGCAAGGTTGACGCGAGTAGGAGTAGGATCAGGACGACCAGGATTCGTAATAAGCATATATGCATGTGGGAGTATGGAAGGCACGTACAAACACCAATGCACACATACGAACGGATTGATGCAACAATGAGCCAGGAGCGGCGTAGGTCTAGGGCATGATAGTACATGAAATGTATGGTAGGAGTAATGGCGGAGGTAGAGACGGAGGAGGAATGCCATATGTTCAGGGGGTAGAGGAGTGCTGGCGGAGGAGGAAATTGATGGTAGGAGTAATGGCGGAGGTAGAGACGGAGGTGGAGACGGAGGAAACTTATGGCAAGGCCCTTGTACTGTTCTGTTGACCCCCCCCCTCTTACGAAACCCTGTGAGACAGGCCGCGCAATCCCCCAAAGTTCGGATTATGTTTCAGAACAACGCGTTCGTGTCTGGGTGGGGGAACAACGCCTATCATATTCTATGTTCGAGCTCGCGAGCGCCGTCTGATATGGGAGGGGGGCCCCAGTAGCTGAGGTCACTTCACTAAAGCTGATGCGGGGGGCGCCCAAAGAGCTGAGGTCCTCCCCAATTGTAGTGCTCCCATCCCAATACCCATTTCACTTTCTCCAGTACTGTAGCCGTTTGGGCTTGATTCAGATATGCTTCCATATTTCGCTATCGTTCCATATGTTTCCATATTCGCTTGCAGCGTGAACACAATGGACCAAATTGATGGCATTGTTCCTCTCTTACGGCTGCCAGGGAGACCGCCCGTCGCGGATGCGGAACCGACCGCACGAGTCGCCGCTGATGCTGAACCGACTGTGCCGCGCGCCGGCCTCGACCAGATAGACATTGCAGCGCCTGGCCATAGTGTAGCACCCCAGGCCGATGTGGCGGTCGTGGAAGTTCCCGCCGCGGCCGCAGCCAGACCGAGGTTCGCTCAGAGAAGTTACGAGCACATCAAACATGTCAGAGAGACAAAGTTGAAGAGACTTCGAGATGACGCATTCGAACGTCAATCAAAAGAACATGCCGTTGCAAAAGCTTCACTTCAGGTTGCATCCGGTTTAGTTCCAAGCATGTCCAATATATTCGGCTTATCATCTGAGCAGGTTGGCAGAAAGAAGTTACAGGAGTTGGTACCTGGAGATTTTTTAGTCCTGAGTAGAGCCGCATTCGTGCCGACATCCGCAAATTTAACCATGGGCATCAAACATCAGCGCGTCATCGCTGCTGCGGCCGTCCGCATTGAGCTCCGTCAGGGCGTGCAGATGAATGCGATGGTTTGTCATGGTCGCGACTGGCTTCAAAACAATCCGACGCATTGCGTCCACTTCACGTTCGCGCATCTGTGGGATGAGACTCGAGCAAAGTTTCGCCGATTCCAAGAGGTTGGACGAGCATCGAAGATGGGAGTTTGGCTCCAGACCATGGCTCAGAGAGGTTACTTCAAGCATACGGCCGTAGATGTCGAGACTGGAGCACAAAGCGTATCTGATGAGTGTTGGCTGGCAAAGCCAATAGAGGTTGAGGGTTCGAGTGCCATGGCGATGCTCCCTGGTATTGAAAAAAGAGTGCCCGAGTTCTTCAATTTTAGGTCCGGGTTTTTGAATCAAACGTTGCTCAATTGCAGCCACGCCACCTTCATGCCACTGTGCGACAAGGCCTCAGGGAACATCAGCATCTTGAAGTGGTGGGGCCTCACGTGGTCGTTGCTCAAAGATACAAGAGTACCCCAGGTATTTTCCAGAAGGCGCTCTTCTGGCCAGATTGTTGTGGAGCTCATCTTCATCACCGTGGAAAGCTATCAATGCGGCCCTTGAAGCAGCATACCATGAGGGCTTACAGCATTGCCAACTTGCAGGCTCCCCGACGTACGGATGCGCATGTTGTCAGCTCTGGAGTTCTGCATTCGGTTGAAGGTGAGACGACGGGTCGGACCATCACCTGGTAATTCATTGCGCACGCTCGTGAACATAATGTTCGACATGGAGGCGGACTACCACAGGCGAGGTCATAACGAAACCAAGCGCTCGCAATTCTACAACGACTTAGTCGAACTGTGCACAATGGTCAACGGAAAACTCGGCGAATGCGAACAATGGATACATCACCGTTGGGATTCGGATCTCGAAGCTCCTTGTTGCCGGGACGACGATGGCTGCATTACCAAAACAGTTGTTGCGTGCACAAACGCCATGCTGGGCAAAACGGATCCGATTCCAAGTGAGGGTCGATGGACGCATGTCTTGCCCAACTTTTGCATGTTATGTTTGCGGCGAGATGTTTTCAATGCCGGCCTAGACTGCTTCGATCTGGAAGTCGGGGATCAGCTGGACAACGCCAGGCAGGTCGACGCCGAGGCGACGGACGACTATCACAAGCAGGTGAAACTGACCCGAGTGAAGAAGACCATCGAGTACTACAACAGCGCGCAGAGCATGATGGAGCTACCGATCCTGACTGTGCTCGTCGGCATCTACGACTTCCACTTATTGCATCCTATGCTCGGCGACCCCGTGAAGGCTAGCGATGGTGACGAGGTGCCGAAGAAGACGCCTAAGCTGGACAAGCTCCTATCCAAGGAGACCAGCCTCATAGGCCAATGCTCTGGGAAACTGCTTGTGAGCATGAAGGCTTGGCGGAGAGGTGGTGGTGACAGGGGTCCATGGCGCGTTCTCGACATGATGCGCGTCCGAGTCGAGGACCCTGGAGTGATGCGTTTCGCATGGAGCCAAACCCTGAGGTTGGCTGGCGCTGTGTTCAGGCGCTACGAGACCAAATGCTCATCCAAGCCTTATGACATGCATATCTTGTCTATCAGCGGGGCCACTTCTGCAGAGAAAGCGCCTTGCATCGACCGCCTGATGGCCGCCGACGACGACGACCTCGACCTGCACAGCCGTGGAGTGCGACAGCTCTTCGTAACGAAGTCTGCGCTGGAGCCCGTGGAATGCCGATCGCTTTCGAGGGCGGACTTCGCGACTCACGCCTTCAGCACAGACGCGATCGAGAGGTTGAACTCGGAGATCACGCATGGGGTCCCCAAGCGAGCTCCAGCCACGAACTTTTCCCAGTCCTCGGATAAGAACTTGTTGTCCCAAGCATGCGCACTTCACGTTTCAAATGGCGGGCGACACCCTACGAGGCCAAAGAAAAAGGCAGTCAGTTCGACCATGGAGGAGGCCGTTCACTCGCCGCTGGTAGGCCTGCTGAGAGCTCAACAGCACGGCAACGACGGCCAACGTGAGCAACCAGAGGCGGCCAGCACAGATGCCCCAGCATTGGTGTCGTCACCAGCGGCGGCGGCAAGAGGGGGTGCCCCAATCGGGGGCGTCGAGGTTGGTGGCGCCGTCGTACCCAGCGGGGAGCGTCGCGGGCTCTTCGACGACGCATGCTCTCGGGCAGTTTCGGAATGCATGGACCTCCTCCCCACCGAGAGCCCGATGATGGACCACTATCGGCGGTCTGGTCTCAACCCTTACTTCCTGGGGAAAAACAAATGGATGCACGCGGCGGCGGACTTGAAAGGGTCGGCCCTGGCAGACGGCGAGATCGAGCGGGCAACGGAAGACTTTAAACAGTTATGGGGAAGTGTCGTGGATACCGATGTGTACGAGGAGGCTCGCGCATTGTGGGTGCAGCAGATGGCGGCCAAAGAACGCGATGAAGGGGAACCGAACAGATTCGTGCAGCAGTGGGGATACGGAAGCGTCGTGTCGCCGATCACCAGCGCGGAGTTCTGCGAGCATATCAGGGATACTGAGGGGTGGCCACCCGACGCCGACATCACCGACGTCAACAACCAGCAGAGCCGCGTCACCGCAGATTTGTCCGTGAACTTCGACGCGGCAAAGGGCGTTCAACTGTGGAGTCTTGGTGCCCGCCCGCGGAACGTCGACCCTAAGAAGGTGGTGGGGGGGAGGGCAAGTTCAAGATCGTCCAGAGGGGCTTCGAGCACGTCCTGAGCCAGATGCAGAGGGACAGAGTAGAATCCGCCGATGTCATGTTCATGGTCGAGGGCACAACCATGCAAGATAAAGGTGGTTTTAGTCGGCTGCTCATTCAAGTGATCGGCTCGTGCTTCAACCCTGTTGTCTTCGACTTCGCTCGCCACCAATCGGAACGAGCAACACTCGCACACGAGAAACCTCTCACTTTCCCTTGTCGGGCGTTCGTGGAGGAGAGGCCATGCAGGGTGAGCGACAAGTTCATGGCGGCGCACGCGCAGACGTCCGACGAGTTTGTTCGCGAGCGTTGCAAGCTCTTTTCGTTCATGGAGCTTTTCGACGTGGAGTGGGACCCTGTCGACGTGGACGGCACTCTCCTGCGGGTGGAGCTGAAGTCCGCGACGTCGCTCGGTTGCTTGTGGAAGGCGGGCTTGACAAAGGCATTGGGGGCGAAATCTGCTCAGCGAGACTGCGCAACCGCCTCCAGCTTCACGAAGATGAAGACCGACGACCCGCCGAACCCTGCGCCGAAGCCCGTGCCCAAGCCGAAGGCCAAGGGCACGCCGAGGGCAGCCGGCAAGCCTAAGCCGAAGGCGACGACGACGACGACGACTACGACGACGACGACGACGACGACGGCGGCGACGGCGACGACGACGACGACGACGACGACGACGACGACGACGACGACGACGACGACGACGACGACTGCGCAGGCGGCTTCTGGCGGGCTTGCCGCTGCTGAGTGTCCGGAGCGCCCGCCAGGACGCCCTTCCGAGGGCAAGGCGGTGCTCGTCGACGACGAGATGGACATGGTTGAGGACGAGGAGATGGACATCGCGAGAGGCGATGGCATGGACGAGCTGCTGCTGACATGGGCCACTAACGCTGATGACCACAATGATGGACGGCCTGATGGTGAGGTCCCTGGCGACGGTGATCCTCAGGCTGAAGCGGACGTGATTTCGGAGTTCGCCGACGCCGCTGGGGCTGCTGGGGTCCCAGGAGGCGATGATGCGAGCGGCGGTGGCGGCCTCGGGGGCTCGGAGCCCGTCGCCGACGGCGGCCATCAGCCTGTGCCGAAGGAGCTTTGGGAGGAGGTCACAGAGCCCAGCGAGTCGGGCTACCTCTATTTGGGGCTCCGCCAGGTCGGGCGTATTCAGAGAGGAAAACCGAAGAACAGCGTCACGATCCATTGTTTTCGACACACTTGTTGTAGCCTGACGGTTGCAGAATCGCGGCGCCCATCGAATGATGCACTCAAGAAGTACTTTTTCGAGATCCCAGAAACTTTGTCTCACGACCCGCCACATGCGCGGAAAGAGAAGGCGAATCAGCATATGCAGATAGGAAAAGACAGGTGGTACGCACCGAAGAAGCGTTAGCGATATTGCGAAAAAACAACAGCGAACCGGTATGTTTTCTCCATGTCACCCATCTTATACATCCTCCTCCATAACCTCATCTTCAGCCTCTCCTGCCTTATGATCCCTTCCCTTCCTCCTCCCATCCTCCTCCTCCCATCCTCCTCCTCATCCTCCGCCGCCCCATCCTTCTCAGCCTCGGAAACCCATCCGCCTCCTCATCCTCACAACCCCTGTTTCTCGACGGGAGGAGGAGGAGGAGGGGGGGGAGGAGGACCAAATCAAACCCAACACGCATCACCGAGCATCGACGCTGCAATACACCCTCCTGTCCCATGCCCCCCCCCCCCTCATAAGTCGATGCACGCTTTCATGTTTTACAGCTGGAGGCGGGACCTTGAAATACGGAAGGCCCATGGGCTTGGCATTCATGAGAATGCGCCCGTTTGCTAAGTAGCCACCCTCCATCCGTGCAAATGCCATTATTGCTTATTTCTGCGAATGCCACGCAAGGATGTCCTTCTCCACCCCTCATCCGCGTTCGCTCTCTGACAAGCCACGCGACGCCCGTCGCGCGGGCAGGGCGGCAATCTCAAGCAGGCGCGCGTGGGATCTCCCAGTGGTCGGAACATCTCGAGGGTGAAACGTGGGCGTGAATTCTCACTGTGTGTCTCTACTCTCCTCACCCCCTTTTCAAAACGTGGCTCTCATTTTAGTCATATTCAAACCATATAGGCAGTGTCGTCGTCGTCGTCGTCGTCGTCGTCGACGTCGTCGTCGTCAGAGTCTCGGGGCAGCTCGTCGCCATCGTCGTTCTCCGGCGCCGAGAGAACCCCGCGAGCCCCCAATAGGCCCTAATATGCCCTCAAGAAGCCCCTGTTGGGCCCTCAGAAGCTCCTCAAGACGCCCTTGGATGACTGTCGCTCTGGGAGCCAGGGACCCCCATGGGGCCGGCGGCGTAAGCCATAGCATCTATGCGGGCCTCCAGAAGCTCATGCTTATGTCGCTTCTTGGTTCCTTTCTGTCCTGCCCAGACCTCGTCGCCGTCGCCGTCGCCGTCGCGTCGCCGCCGCCGTCGCCGAAGTTGAAGCGGGCTTCGGGCACCGAGAACTTCAACGCAAATTTCGCCTTGCTAACCGAGACGGCGACGACGACGACGACGACGATGACGACGACGACCACGACGACGACGACGACGGCGACGACGGCGACGACTACGACGACGACGACGACGACGACGACGTCGCCTCGACGACGATCCTCTTCCTCCTCCCCTGCTCATCCGCAGCCATTTTGAGTCAAACCACTTCGCCATCCGAAGTTGTCAGGTTCTCGCTTTACTGAAGTAGTATGGCCCCCAAGGCGGTTGGGCAGCAGCACGCCGTGCCTCGTTGTGCATACGACGCGCTGGCGGCCAAGTATCGGATCAAGACGGCGGCCAACATCATGCTGAGGAGGCGGATGAGGAAGTACGAGCAGGAGCTCAAGAACTTGCGCCACGTGATGACCACCAAGTCCACGCGCATCCATGCGATGGTGACCGCGCCCTTTTTCAGCTGCCCGTGCCAGCTCCACCGCGTCCACCGGCTCCCAGGCCCATGATCAGGCCAGCGGCGGCTGGGGTTGCAGGCGGCGGGCGAGTGAGCCACCGTGTACGTCGCGGTGTTGTTTGAGTGAGGGCCAGAAGCTAGGGCGATCGGATGTCCACGCCCTCTGCTCCTCGGCGCGAGCCGCTCTGTGATGGCGCCGCGGTGTTGTCGACGGGCCAGCCGTGTAGGTGATCGGCGATAGGATCGCCACGCCTTTTGCTCCTGGCCGCTTTCTCCGACTCTGCTGCTCGCAGTGCTCGCCGCTCGCTTTCGGCCGAGTTGCAAAACGACCGAAGCCTCCGCCTCCAAGCGAGCCCAAAGGGCCCCCAAGAGGCCGCAAAGACTTGAGAGGCCTCCAAAAGAACCCCCAAAGGCCACCAAGGGCTCCTAGGTAGGAGGTCCACAAGAAGCTCCAAGAGGCCCCAACGGCCCCAGGAGCCCCCGAGAGGCTTCCAAGAGGTAAGAGGCACCCTCCTGCCATCATCGCGCACCCTCCCCATCCCCCATGCATTTATCCCCCCCCCCCGAGAACCCGCTCAGGGACGCCCCCAGGCCCCTCCAGAGCCCCATTTTGGCCTGCATCCCGAGCTGCGCCCAGCCGTGGCGACGAGGGGTCCCCGAAGGCCCAAATGACGAGGATGATGATGGCGATGGCGACGATGATGATGATGATGATGATGAGGAGGAGGATGAGGAGGAGGAGGAGGAGGAGGGGGAAGCTAATGATGACAAGGGGTGGTGATGATGATGATGGTGATGGTGATGGTGATGATGATGACGACGATGATGATGATAATGATGCTGATGAGGATGAGGAGGAGCAGGACGGCGGTGGTGTTGGTGATGATGATGCGGCTGATGATAATGGTGTTGGTGGTGACGATGATGATGATTATGATGATGATGCTGCTGATGTTGATGATGATGCCGATGCTGACGATGATGATGATAATGACGATGATGATGATGATGATGATGAGTTGTGTATTGTCCACAGTCGGAAAGTCGCTATGTTCGCTTGGAAACTAAAGTGAACCCCTAGCGGTGGCCGACAGGATTTCGGGTGGCCCGCGCGGTGGGTGGGTCACCGGCCGCGCGCGCTTGGGGAGTTCTGTATTGCCAACAATGAAAAGTCGCAATGTAATTCCCAAAAACTGAATTTGAAATTTCTGCGGCCGTTTACGGAGGCCGACGGAAGCTCGCGGGTGACAACGGTTAATCTTAACCGTGCGGAAAAAGAGGTTAACCATACATAACGCATACATAATACACTATGCTAATACACTATGCTAATACACTATGCCAATACACTATGCTAATACACTATGCTAATACACTATGCTAATACAGTATGCTAAACACTATGCTAATACACTGTGCTAACACACTATGTTAATACACTGTGCTAATACACTATAGTGTATGCGTATAGTGCATTAGCAAAGTGTATACGTACCGTATAGTGTATTAGCAAAGTGTATGCGTATAGTGCGCTAGCAAAGTGTATGCGTATAGTGTATTAGCAAAGTGTATGCGTACACTGTATTAGTATAGTGTATGAGTACAGCATATCAGTATTAGTGTATTGTATAATGTTTGTGTATTAGCGTAGTCGGTTACGGAGAGTCTTGCAGTGGTTCAGTCAAGCGGGTTACTGTAGTGTGTTAGCTTAGTTCAGTGTTTTCGCATCGGGTATTAGTAACAGTGTAGGATGAAGTGTATTTAGTTAATGTTTTAGCATAGTGTATCAGTAGAGCGTATTCGCATGGCGTATTAGCATACTGTATGATGGAGTGTATTCAGATCGTGATTTAGCATAGTGTGTTAGCACAGTGTGTTAGCTGATACACGATGCTAATACACTATGATAATACACTATACTAATACATTACACTGACAGAGTGCATTAGCATTGCGTGTCATTGTGTTCGATTGTGTGAGCGTCTGACCGCGCGGTGGGCACAATCTTAATACACTATGCTGGTACACTATGGTAATACACTATGCTAATACACTATACTAATACATTACACTGACAGAGTGCATTAACATTGCGTGTCATTGTGTATCATTGTGTGAACGTCCGACCGTGCGGTGGACACTATGCTAATACACTATGTTATCACATTGTGCTAATACACTATGCTAATACACTATGCTAATACACTATGATAATACATTACGTACACAGACATATCGCCTTAGCATTGTGTGTCATTGCGTATCGTTGTGTGAACGTCCGACCGTGCGGTGGACACTATGCTCATACACTATGCTAATACACGATGCTGATACACTATGCTAATACACTATGCTAATACACTATGCTAATACACTATACTAATACATTACACTGACAGAGTGCATTAGCATTGCGTGTCATTGCGTATCATTGTGTGAACGTCGGACCGTGCGGTGGACAGTCTGCCAATACACTATGCTAATCCACTATGCTAATACACTATGCTAATACATTAGACTGGCAGAGTGTTAAGCGTGTTACGGTAGTGTGCTACGGTAGTGTGTTAATTCAGTTAAGCGTGTTACGGTAGTGTGTTAGTTCAGTGTTTTAGCATAGTGTATTAGTATAGTGTAGTTGTATAGTGTATTAGCATAGTGTATTCGGGAAATATCATCGTGTATTAGCATAGTGTATTAGCATAGTGTACTAGCATAGTGAATTAGCATAGTGTATTCGCATAGTGTGTTATGGAAAGCTATGTGTGGTTAAAGCCGACTCTCGCGGGTGACACGTGTCACCCGCGCGCGAGTGGGGAGTTCTGTATTGTCCGCAATCGGACAGTCGCAATGTTGGTTTGGAAACTAAAGTGAACCCCTAGCGGTGGCCGACAGGATTTCGGGTGACCCGCGCGGTGGGTGGGTCACCCGCCGCGCGCGCTTGGGGAAATCTGTATTGCCCGTAATGGAAAAAGCCGCCATGTTGGCTTGAACACTTAAGTGCGCCCTCAGCGGTGACCGATTAGATTTTGAAGTTAACGTTAGTTCTGGTGTATGTTTTCCACAATGATCATTATAGAACTCCCGACGCGCGCGCGCGGGGAGTTCTGCATTGTCCACAATGGGGAAGTCGCAATGTAATTCCCGAAAACTGAATTTGAAATTTCAGTGGCCCTTTAAGGGTGCCGACGGAAGCTCGCGGGTGACACGTGTCACCCGCGCGCGCGCGCGTGGTGACTTTTGCATTGTCCACAGTCGGAAAGTCGCCATGTTCGCTTGGAAACTAAAGTGAACCCTTAGCGGTGGCCGACAGGATTTCGGGTGACCCGCGCGGTGGGTGGGTCACCAGCCGCGCGCGCTTGGGGAGTTCTGTATTGCCAACAATGGAAAGTCGAAGTGTAATTCCCGAAAAATGAATTTGAAATTTTTGTGGCAATTTAAGGAGGCCGACGGAAGCTCGCGGGTGACACGCGTCACCCGCGCGCGTGCGCGCGCGCGCGGGGAGTTCTGCATTGTCCAAAATTGAAAAGTCGCCACGTGACTCCAAAAACTGCATTTGAAATTTCTGCGAACATTCAACGGTGGCCGATAGACGCGCGCGGGTGACACGCGTCACCCGCGCGCGCGCGCGTGCGCGCGCCCCCCCCCCCCCGCGGGGAGTTCTGGATTGTCAACAATCGAAAAGTAAGTCGCCACGTGTGCTTGGGAACTCTAGTGGCACCCTAGCGGTGACCGGTCGGGTTTCCAAGTTAACATTGCTTCTTGCGCGCGTTCTCTGTCATGGGCTACACAGAGCCCGCAAGCGCGCGCGCCTCCCTCACCCCCCCCCCCTCCCCCGTGAGGATGTCTGTATTGTCAACGAACGAAAAGTCGCCATGTTGGTTTGGAAACTCCAGTGGTCCCTTAGCGGTGACCGATCGGATTTCTAATGACAAATGGGTTCTTGCGCACGACCTCTGTCATGGGCAATACAGAGCCCGCAAGCGCGCGCTCGCCCCTCCCGTGAGGAGTTCTGTATTGTCCACAATCGAAAAGTCGCCATGTTGGCTTGGGAACTCCAGTGGCCCCTTACTGGTGACCGATCGGGTTTCCAAGTTAACATGGCTTCTTGCGCATGCCCCCTGTTATTGGCAACAGAGAGATTGCGCGCGCGCGTGGGGAGTTGTGTATTGTACACAATAGAAAAGTCGGCGCGTCCGTCGGCCTCCTTAAAGGGCCACAGAAATTTTGAATTCAGTTTTTGGAATTATATGTCGCGTTTTCTAGTGTTGGCAATACAGAACGCCGCCGCGCGCGCGCGCGTGGGGAGTTGTGTATTATACACAATAGAAAAGTCGGCGCGTCCGTCGGCCTCCTTAAAGGACCACAGAAATTTTGAATTCAGTTTTTGGAATTACATGTCGCGTTTTCTAGCGTGGGCAATACAGAATTCCGCCGCGCGCGCGCGCGTGGGGAGGTCTGTATTGTACACAATAGAAAAGTCGGCGCGTCCGTCGGCCTCCTTAAAGGGCTACAGAAATTTTGAATTTAGTTTTTGGAATTACATGTCGCGTTTTCTAGCGTGGGCAATACAGAACTCCGCCGCGCGCGCGCGCGCGATGCACCCTGTATTGGTTTTATACAATCGGAGGCCATGTTGGCTTGAAAACTGAATGGTCAAAACCCAATGTAAACATTCATTCTCTGGGCACAAGAGGCGGCCATATCAACGTGGAATATATATAAACCAAACAATGTGCGAGGCGCGCGCGCGCGATGCACCCTGTATTGGTTTTTTATACCATCGGAGGCCATGTTGGCTTGAAAACTGAATTGTGAGAACCCAATGTAAAAATTCATTCTCTGGGCACAAGAGGCGGCCATATAAACGTGGAATATAGTAAACCATACAATACGCGAGGCGCGCGCGCGCGCGTACGCGCGCGCGATGCACCCCGTATTGGTATTTTTTATAATCGGAGCCAACATGGCCTCCGATTGTAAAAAACCAATACATGGTGCATCGCGCGCGCGCACGGCGGAGTTCTGTATTGCCCACACTAGAAAACGCGACATGTTATTCCAAAAACTGAATTCAAAATTGTTATGGCCCTTTAAGGAGGCCGACGGACGCGCCGACTTTTCTATTGTGGACATTACAGAACTTCCCACGCGCGCGCGCGGCGGAGTTCTGTATTGCCCACGCTAGAAAACGCGACATGTAATTCCAAAAACTGAAGTCAAAATTTCTGTAGCCCTTTAAGGAGGCCGACGGACGCGCCGACTTTTCTATTGTGTACAATGCAGAACTCCCCACGCGCGCGCGCGAATCCGCTTCGGATTACGGCCAGTTGCCGACCAGCGCCCGCGCGTCACATGCGTTGCCGCCGAGGCGGTCGCCAGGCCCGAGTGGCTGACAGACTTCGACGCGCGGCTGCGAAGGCGAGTGGTGCAGTTGATTCGTGACCGCGCAGGTGGACACCCGAGTTAACTGCGCGGGTGGCCGTCGACGGGCGACGTCGACTCGGCGCGTCGACGTCGACAGTCGACGTCGAAAGTCGACAGGGCGCGTCGACTCGCCAAGAGGCAAAGTCAACTGGGCGCGTCAAGACGGCATGGCGCGTCAACAGGGCGCGTCGACTCGCCAAGAGGCAAGTCAATTGGGCGCGTCGACTTCGACAGTCGACGTCGACAGTCGACGTCGAGAGTCGACTCCAGCAGTTCACTAGGGCGAGCGAAGTCCACAAAATGCGAGTCGACGCGGCACGTCGCTTCTGCCATGAGCAGTCAATGGCTACCTTCAGCTCCTTGCCGAATCGCGCAACTCGCTTGGTGCCTGAGGGAGATCAGCGCCTATGCCAGCGGCTGCGCAGCGGGCTACTTGGCGGGCGGCAGGTGCGACAAGTGCGGGTCTGCGCGGCGGGCATCGCACTTCCTCGTGCCACGCAGCGGCAATTGCCGAGGCGCGCGCGCCCCCCCCCCCCTCCCCCCACCCCCGCGAGGAGTCCTGTATTGCCTACAATCGAGAAGTCGCCGTGCCAGCTTGGAAATTCAAGTGGCCCCTCAGCGGTGGTCGATCTGATTTCCAAGTTAACATTGCTTCTTGCGCATGTTCTCTGTCATGGGCGATGCAGAGCCCGCAATCGCGCGCGCGCTCGCCCCCCCCCCCCCCCCGTGACGAGGTCTGGATTGACCATGGTCACCCGCCTGTGTGCCCGCGTAAAGCATTCTGTATTGTTTTTCATCGAAAAGTCGCCATGTTGGCCTGGAGATTACAGTGAACCTTTAGCGGTGGCCGATTGGATTTCCAAGTTAACATTGCTTTTTTTGTATGTTCTCTAGTCGTGGCCCACACAGAGAGCTCCACGCGCGCGAACGCGCACGGGTGACCATGGTCACCCGCCTGTGTGCTCGCGTAAAGCATTTTGTATGGTTTGCCATCGAAAAGTCGCCATGTTGGCCTGGAAACTACAGTGAACCCTTAGCGGTGACCGATTGGATTTCCAAGTTAACATGGCTTTCTTTGTATGTTCTCTACTTGTGGCCCACACAGAGAGCTCCACGCGCGCGAACGCGCGCGGGTGACCATGGTCACCCGCCTGTGTGCTCGCGTAAAAGCATTTTGTGTTGTTTTCAATCGAAAAGTCGCCATGTTGGCTTGGAAATTACAGTGGGCCCTTAGCGGTTGCCGATTTCATTTCCAAGTTAACATGGCTTTTTTTGTATGTTCTCTACTTGTGGCTCACACAGGGAGCTCCACGCGCGCGAACGCGCGCGGGTGACCGTGGTCACCCGCCTGTGTGCTCGCGTAAACCATTTTGTGTTGTTTTCAATCGAAAAGTCGCCATGTTGGCATGGGAACTAAAGTGAACCCTTAGCGGTGACCGATTGGATTTCCAAGTTGACATGGCTTTCTGCGTATGTTCTCTACTTGTGGCCCACACAGAGAGCTCCACGCGCGCGAACGCGCGCGGGTGACCATGGTCACCCGCCTGTGTGCTCGCGTAAAGCATTTTGTATTGTTTTCAATCGAAAAGTCGCCATGTTGGCCTGGGAACTAAAGTGAACCCTTAGCGGTGGCCGATTGGATTTCCAAGTTAACATGGCCTTTTTTTGTATGTTCTCTACTTGTGGCCCACACAGAGAGCTCCACGCGCGCGAACGCGCGCGGGTGACCATGGTCACCCGCCTGTGTGCTCGCGTAAAGCATTTTGTATTGTTTTCAATGGAAAAGTCGCCATGTTGGCTGGGAAACTAAAGTGAACCCTTAGCGGTGACCGATGGGGTTTCCAAGTTAACATGGCCTTTCTTTGTATGTTCTCTACTTGTGGCCCACACATGGAGCTCCACGCGCGCGAACGCGCGCGGGTGACCATGGTCACCCGCCTGTGTGCTCGCGTAAAGCATTTTGTATTGTTTTCAATCGAAAAGTCGCCATGTTGGCCTGGCAACTAAAGTGAACCCTTAGCGCTGACCGATTGGATTTCCAAGTTAACATGGTTTTCTTTGTGTGTTCTCTACTTGTGGCTCACACAGAGAGCTCCACGCGCGCGAACGCGCGCGGGTGGCCATAGTCACCCGCCTGTGTGCTCGCGTAAAGCATTTTGTATGGTTTGCCATCGAAAAGTCGCCATGTTGGCCTGGAAACTAAAGTGAACCCTTAGCGGTGACCGATTAGATTTCCAAGTTAACGTGGCTTTCTTTGTATGTTCTCTACTTGTGGCCCACACAGAGAGCTCCACGCGCGCGAACGCGCGCGGGTGACCATGGTCACCCGCCTGTGTGCTCGCGTAAAGCATTTTGTATTGGTTTCAATCGAAAAGTCGCCATGTTGGCATGGGAATTAAAGTGAACCCTTAGCGGTGGCCGATTGGATTCCGAAGTTAACATTGCTTTCTTTGTATGTTCTCTACTTGTGGCCCACACAGAGAGCTCCACGCGCGCGAACGCGCGCGGGTGACCATGGTCACCCGCCTGTGTGCTCGCGTAAAGCATTTTGTATTGTTTTCATTCGAAAAGTCGCCATGCTGGCTTGGAAAATAGAGTGAACCCTCAGCGGTGACCGATTGGATTTCCAAGTTAACATGGCTTTCTTTGTATGTTCTGTACTTGTGGCCCACACAGAGAGCTCCACGCGCGCGAACGCGCGCGGGTGACCATGGTCACCCGCCTCTGTGCCCGCGTGAAACATTTTGTATTGTTTTCAGCCGAAAAGTCGCCATGTTGGCCTGGGAACTAAAGTGAACCCTTAGCGGTGGCCGATTGGATTTCCAAGTTAACATGGCTTTTTTTGGTATGTTCTCTACTTGTGGCCCACACAGAGAGCCCCACGCGCGCGAACGCGCGCGGGTGACCATGGTCACCCGCCTGTGTGCTCGCGTAAACCATTTTGTATTGTTTGCCATCGAAAAGTCGCCTTGTTGGCTTGGAAACTAAAGTGAACCCTTAGCGGTGGCCGATTGGGTTTCCAAGTTAACATGGCTTTCTTTGTATGTTCTCTACTTGTGGCCCACACAGAGAGCCACGCGCGCGAACGCGCGCGGGTGACCATGGTCACCCGCCTGTGTGCTCGCGTAAAGCATTTTGTATTGTTATCAATCGAAAAGTCGCCATGTTGGCTTGGAAACTAAAGTGAACCCTCAGCGGTGGCCGATGGGATTTCCAAGTTAACATGGCTTTCTTTGTATGTTCTCTATTTGTGGCCCACACAGAGAGCTCCACGCGCGCGAGCGCGCGCGGGTGACCATGGTCACCCGCCTGTGTGCTCGCGTAGAGCATTTTGTATTGTTTTCAATGGAAAAGTCGCCATGCTGGCCTGGAAACTAAAGTGAACCCTTAGCGGTGGCCGATTGGATTTCCAAGTCAACTTTTTTTGTATGTTCTCTACTTGTGGCCCACGCAGAGAGCTCCACGCGCGCGAACGCGCGCGGGTGACCATGGCCACCCGCCTGTGTGCTCGCGTAACGCATTTGGTATTGTTTTCAATCGAAAAGTCGCCATGTTGGCGTGGAAATTAAAGTGAACCCTTAGCGGTGGCCGACTGGATTTCCAAGTTAACATTGTTTTCTTTGTATGTTCTCTACTTGTGGCCCACACAGAGAGCTCCACGCGCGCGAACGCGCGCGGGTGACCATGGTCACCCGCCTGTGTGCTCACGTAAAGCATTTTGTAGTGTTTGCAATCGAAAAGTCGCAATGTTGGCCTGGAAACTAAAGCGAACCCTTAGCGATGACCGATTGGATTTCCAAGTTAACATGGCTTTCTTTGTATGGTCTCTACTTGTGGCCCACACAGAGAGCCCCACGCGCGCGAACGCGCGAGGGTGACCATGGTCACCCGCATGTGTGCTCGCGCAAAGCATTTTGTATTGTTTTCAATCGAAAGGTCGCCATGTTGGCTTGGAATTTAAAGTGAACCCTTAGCGGTGACCGATTGGATTTCCAGGTTAACATGGCTTTTTTTCTGTACGCTCTCTACTTGTTGCCCACAGAGAGCGCCACGCGCGCGAACGCGCGCGGGTGACCATGGTCACCCGCCTGTGTGCTCGCGTAAAGCATTTTGTATTGTTTTCAATCAAAAAGTCGCCATGTTGGCCTGGAAACTAAAGTGAACCCTTAGCGGTGGTCGATTGGGTTTCCAAGTTAACATGGCTTTCTTTGTATGTTCTCTACTTGTGGCCCACACAGAGAGCTCCACGCGCGCGAACGCGCGCGGGTGACCATGGTCACCCGCCTGTGTGCTCGCGTAGAGCATTTTGTATTGTTTTCATTCGAAAAGTCGCCATGTTGGCCTGGGAACTAAAGTGAACCCTTAGCGGTGGCCGATTGGATTTCCAAGTTAACGTTGCTTTTTTGTATGTTCTTTACTTGTGGCCCACGCAGAGAGCTCCACGCGCGCGAACGCGCGCGGGTGACCATGGTCACCCGCCTGTGTGCTCGCGTAGAGCATTTTGTATTGTTTTCAATCGAAAAGTCGCCATGTTGGCCTGGGAACTAAAGTGAACCCTTAGCGGTGACCGATTGGATTTCCAAGTTAACATGGCTTTCTTTGTATGTTCTCTACTTGTGGCCCACACAGAGAGCTCCACGCGCGCGAACGCGCGCGGGTGACCATGGTCACCCGCTTGTGTGCTCGCGTAAAGCACTTTGTATTGTTTTCAATAGAAAAGTCGCCATGTTGGCCTGGAGATTAAAGTGAACCCTTAGCGGTGGCCGATTGGATTTCCAAGTTAACATGGCTTTTTTTATATGTTCTCTACTTGTGGCCCACACAGGGAGCGCCACGCGCGCGAACGCGCGCGGGTGACCATGGTCACCCGCCCGTGTGCTCGCGTAACGCATTTTGTATTGTTTCCAATCGAAAAGTCGCCTTGTTGGCTTGGAAACTAAAGTGAACTCTTAGCGGTGGCCGATTGGATTTCCAAGTTAACATGGCTTTCTTTGTATGTTCTCTACTTGTGGCCCACACAGGGAGCGCCACGCGCGCGAACGCGCGCGGGTGACCATGGTCACCCGCCTGTGTGCTCGCGTGAAGTTTTTTTTGTATTGTTTTCATTCGAAAAGTCGCCATGTTGGCTTGGCAACTAAAGTGAACGAACACTTAGCGGTGGCCGATTGAGCTCCACGCGCGCGAACGCGCGCGGGTGACCATGGTCGCCCGCCTGTGTGCTCGCGTAAAGCATTTTGTATTGTTTTCAATCGAAAAGTCGCCATGTTGGCCTGGGAACTAAAGTGAACTCTTAGCGGTGGCCGATTGGATTTCCAAGTTAACATGGCTTTCTTCTGTATGTTCTCTACTTGTGGCCCACACAGAGAGCTCCACGCGCGCGAACGCGCGCGGGTGACCATGGTCACCCGCCTGTGTGCTCGCGTAAAGCATTTTGTATTGTTTTCAATCGAAAAGTCGCCATGTTGGCATGGAAATTACACTGAACCCTTAGCGGTGGCCGATTTGATATCCAAGTTAACATGGCTTTTTTTGTATGTTCTCTGCTTGTGGCCCACACAGGGAGCTCTACGCGCGCGAACGCGCGCGGGTGGCCATGGTCACCCGCCTGCGTGCTCGCGTAAAGCATCTTGTATTGTTTTCAATCGAAAAGTCGCCATGCTGGCCTGGGAACTAAAGTGAACCCTTAGCGGTGGCCGATTCGATTTCCAAGTTAACATGGCTTTCTTTGTATGTTCTCTACTTGTGGCCCACACAGAGAGCTACACGCGCGCGGACGCGCGCGGGTGACCATGGTCGCCCGCCTGTGTGCTCGCGTAAAGCATTTTGTTTTATTTGCAAAAGAAAAGTCGCCATGTTGACTTGGAAACTAGAGTGAACCCTTAGTGGTGGCCGATTGGATTTCCAAGTTAACATGGCTTTCTTTGTATGTTCTCTACTTGTGGCCCACACAGAGAGCTACACGCGCGCGGACGCGCCCGGGTGGCCATGGTCACCCGCCTGTGTGATCGCGTAAAGCATTTTGTATTGTTTTCAATCGAAAAGTCGCCATGTTGGCTTGGAAACTAGAGTGAACCCTTAGCGGTGGCCGATTGGATTTCCAAGTTAACATGGTTTTTTTTGTATGTTCTCTACTTGTGCCCCACGCAGGGAGCTCCACGCGCGCGAACGCGCGCGGGTGACCATGGTCACCCGCATGTGTGCTCGCGTAAAGCATTTTGTATCGTTTTCAATCGAAAAGTCGCCATGTTGGCCTGGGAACTAAAGTGAACCCTTAGCGGTGGCCGATTGGATTTCCAAGTTGACATGGCTTTCTTTGTATGTTCTCTACTTGTGGCCCACACAGAGAGCTCCACGCGCGCGAACGCGCGCGGGTGACCATAGTCACCCGCTTGTGTGCTCGCGTAAAGCATTTTGTATTGTTTTCAATCGAAAAGTCGCCATGTTGGCCTGGAAACTAAAGTGAAACCTTAGCGGTGGCCGATTGGATTTCCAAGTTAACATGGTTTTTTGTATGTTCTCTACTTGTGGCCCACACAGAGAGCTCCACGCGCGCGAACGCACGCGGGTGACCATGGTCACCCGCCTGTGTGATCGCGTAAAGCATTTTGTATTGTTTTCAATCGAAAAGTCGTCATGTTGGCTTGGAAATTAAAGCGAACCCTTAGCGGTGGCCGATTGGATTTCCAAATTAACATGGCTTTCATTGTATGTTCTCTACTTGTGGCCCACACAGACATCTCCACGCGCGCGAACGCGCGCGGGTGACCATGGTCACACGCCTGTGTGCTCGCGTAGCGCATTTTGTATTGTTTTCAATCGACAAGTCGCCATGTTGGCTTGGAAACTAAAGTGAACCCTTAGCGGTGGCCGATTGGATTTCCAAGTTAACATGGCTTTTTTGTATGTTCTCTACTTGTGGCCCACACAGAGAGCTACACGCGCGCAAACGCGCGCGGGTGACCATGGTCACCCGCCTGTGTGCTCGCGTAAAGCATTTTGTATTGTTTTCAATCGGAAAGTCGCCATGCTGGCCTGGAAACTAAAGTGAGCCTTTAGCGGTGACCGATTGGATTCCCAAGTTGACATGGCTTTCTTTGTATGTTCTCTACTTGTGGCCCACGCAGAGAGCTCCACGCGCGGAAACATTGCAGTTTCCAGGCCAACATGGCGACTCTTCTATTGTAAGCAATACAAACTGACATGCATTCAGGGTACCTTGGTTTTCTTCACCCGCCACGCAGTCGGTTCGCCATCCTGGTTGTGCAAGGCCCGACGCTCGCATTTTCGATCGCCTTGGGTTTCTTGATGTCAAACTGGCTTACGCCAGTGATCAAGAAACCGCTCGGGTCAGGGTACCCTGGCGTTCTTCGTTTCCAGCCGAAGTGCAAGAAACTCCGGCGGATTTCAGGGTAGGGTTTTTTGCGGGTGGTTTCTTGTGGTCGCGCCCCCACTGTAGGTCCACGTAATTCTAAAGTTCCGTTGTGCCGATGTAATTCCAAAGTCTCGGTGTGCCTTTTCCAAAGTTTGTGTGCGCTCATGTAATTCTAGAGTCTCGGCGTGCCCATGTAATTCCTAAGCCTCGGTGTGCCCTCAGTCACGCGGGGGAACTTGGATAATCTTGGGGCCAAGGGCATGGCACCTCGCCCCTGCTCCGTCCCATGCACCCCCCTTTCGTCGTTCCAGATTGCCCCCCCCCGCTTGCATGTCTGCCGCGTTTTGTCGGCGTATGAGGATGTGCCCGTAGCGCGGGCTCACGTGGGGAGGTATCGGCGCCAGGGGAACCATCACTAACGAACATTTGATTTGACCGGAGGATCGTGGGCAGCCGAGCTCAATCCCTTCCCCCCCCCTCTCTCATCCTCTCAGCGCGTCGCTCCTTGTAGCTGTTTTGGCTTATTGCTAGGTGCGCGCGCGTTTACACGAGTGCAACTTCTATTTCTGACTGTTTTCTTGCTGCACAGGTACAGTGCGACGATTGGCCATGGTGGGCGGGGGACTCACGAAGGAGGAGGAGGAGGAGGCTCTGGAGAAGGAGCTATTCGATTGTGAGCCTGATGGCCAGTCGGACTCCCCAGGAGGGGCATCTTCCCACGGCGGCAACGGCCAAGGGGACTTGTCTGCCACCTCGTGCGCCAAGTGCATGGCCGCCTTCATCACGGAGGTTCCCGATTCGTCTGAGTCGTTAGGCAGTGGAGTGCAGCGCTCGCACGATTCTCTTGACACGTGTGCAGACTGCGTCGAGTTGAAATGCCTGGTGAGTCAGACCCTGGACGGGCCCTTGGGCGCTGTGCTCCTCGGCCGCTGGAAGGAGCTGCGCTTCTCGACCGCAGACGGGGTAGTCACCCTGGAGGAGTTGGCCATCGACTGGGCCGCGGTCGTATCCAACATGTGCACCGTCGGTGGCGAGATCCCTGTCTCGGAGTCTCTCCCAGCGGATGCTGAGGGAGCTGGCCTGGGCCGTTCGGGGCCAGAGGAGGCCGCGCCCGCTGCCGGCGTTACCGGTGGGGGCGCCCCCGGCGAGGCGAATGGCGAGGCCTTCGCGGTCGATTCCTCAAAGATGCCCAGGCGCGCCGTCTGCGCAAGGGCCGCCAGAGCTGTGAAAACGGCGGTGGAGGAGGAGACTGGCGATCCGACTGGAGGGGACATCAGTGGCGGCGGAGCGGCAGCCGAGCAGGAGGAGGAGGAGTCTTTCGGCGTCAATAAGTTCTCCCTGAAGGAGCGGCTGCCCAAGGGGACGCTCTTCACGTGCCTGTCACGCATTCGTGGAACTATCAACGGGTATGTAGACGCGCTGGCGATGCTCGGGTGGTCGGCCGACTTCAAGGCGCAGACGGTGCAGGCATTGCAGCGTCGGTTGAATAACCACCATAATGAAATCAAGCAGCTCGACAAGAGAGACGTCAAGATCGCGTTCGACCAGCTCGGGCAGCGATCAGACCGTCGTCGAGCTTTTCAAAACATTCAAGGCTTGGTATGATGATAGTAGCGACGCATCGTTGGTTCCAATGCTGGCCCTCATCAAGAAAGTGAGTCCGTACCTGGCACTGGTGCAGAAGGACTTAGCTCCCGACCTCAAGATCGTGCACGTGTACGCTGAGTTCTACGGGAACCTGTACGACGGCATGGCGATCGAGAAGGCGACGGCCATGGTGGATTTCAACCTCATCCGCAAGTGCCACAAGCTCTGAATTGCCGACAGGGGATTGTTGATGGGATCCAGCCCGGAGGACGCCGACGAATCGGACATCAAGGGGGAGCCCGCTGCCCCAGTCGGATGTGGTGTGAAACTCGAGGACGTCGCTGGCCCTCCCATGAAGAAGCGCAAGGCGGCGATCCAGAAGTTGCCGAGGGGACTGGTCGCCGATCGCGTCACCGAACTGCCCGCCACGCAGTTGGAGAAGCTGGTGAGCGATGCTGCAGCGGCTTGGATATTCAACATGTCGAAAGATGCCGCGAACAGCGGGCAGATGGTGGCGGCCCTGCTGGGCAGCCTGCAGAGTATTCTCAAGACGTGGGATGAGAAAGTGCGCCCTGATGTCAATGACAAGTACCACCACTTCCTACGAGCGTGCTGCGCGGTCGTGCAGTGCGCGTTGAATGACGAGACGAAGAGGCCGAGCGTTGATACTGCGAGGTGGGCTCGCAAAGTTGTGATCGGGACGTCGAAAGAGGACGCGCTGCCTTCAAGCGAATTTGCCAAGGACATGTGCGAACATCCCGTTGGCAAGGATCTCATGAAGTACGCCCTCACCCATGCCAAAGCTGGCGTCGAGGATGCCGCTGCTACTAACGGATTCGAGGCGTCCGTGGCCAAGTTCGAGTCCATCCTCGACCCCGTCTTCGAGGATTTCGGCAACTGGATTGAGAAGGGACACCAGGGGAAGCAGATGGACATCTTGGGCTGCGCAGGGTACTTGGAGGCTTGCCAGACGATGGCCGTCAGCTGCCAGCAGGCTCTTCAGCGTTGGTCACCGAGCGCCCTGATGGAGCAGTGCGAAACCTTGGCGAGCACAGGGCGCTGCAAACTCGAAAAGCCACACCCTCGTTCCTCATCCTCGATCCTCCTTCTTTTTCCCAGCCCCCCCTCGATGTCGGCAGGATGGCGGGGGGCTGGCTTTTCGTGTTTGTATGCGCCGCAGGCGAGCACGATCTCGAACATGTGCGCCCTCTTGCACGCTGCGAATTACATCTATGTGGATACGGTAAGGGTCTTGATCGGCGGGCTTATGTTAGAGTCTGCAGAGTCGGCCAGAGCTGATGGGAACCGGTGCGACCGCAGCCCCGACGGACAGAGTGCTGAAGGCGTCGACGGTGATCAGGCGCTGCACGATGGCGGCGACGAGTCCTCGATCAAAAGCTTCAAGACGAAGTCGTTCCTCTACGGGCACGTCCGCGACATCGACGGCCGCGTTCGGGCGATCAATCCGAAGTTGACGTCGTTCGTCGACATCTTTTTCACGTCCGCGCTGAACGCCCAGAAGCTCTACAAGCTTGCAGCCTCCAGGGTCGGCAGCTCGTGGCACGAGCATTTCGACCAGGACATGTCGGCTGAGTTAGCGATGAAGCACTTCAACCACAACGTTTCGGTCTGCGAGAAGATAGTCACCTACATGATGAACCTCCACACGTTGAGCTTCCCAGATTGGTGGCTCGACGATTCGAACGACCAGCAGCCTCGCGCAATCGATGAAAAGGTCTTGTGCGCTTTCAGCAAGATCCACCACGAGCAAGTCTACGTCAAGCCGCTCACCGTGATAGTGAGCAGTACGAGCCTCCCATTTCCTCAAGGCGTGGACGACGTGGCGAAGTTGTTCGGCTTGTTCTGCCAGCACGTCGGCCAGCACATGTACGACATGCATACCTCTGCCTTCCTGCAGAAGAACGTGGCGGCGATTGCTGATAAAGAAGTGTGCCTAGGCCAGGTGCGTGAGACTGTTCTCACAGATTGCGATGCTACGTTGGCGTATTCGCACCTGCTTCCGAAGGTCGACGCCACTAAGCTTGTGAACGAGACGGGCGCCGACTTCAAAGGCACGGAGACCGACAATCGTCTGCTGTCCGGCCTTTCCCACAACCAGGCGTTCAAGCACCTGCAGGACTTCGCCAAGGCGGTCGCCCTGACTCGCATCGAGATACCTGGAATGCACAACCTGACCGTGGATGCGAAGGAACCCTGCATCGAATCCTGCTTCTTCGCATTGGAGCTTAAGTGCGCCGTTGCCGACGTGGTCGCCATGGCGTCTGCAGCGCAGGTACACATCATCATGCGCTCGAGCTCTGAGGGCCAGAATGGGCTCACCAAGGCGGTGGTCTGCGAGGATGCGGTGAATATCGGGAAGGCCTTGCAGTCTGCCTTGGTGGAGCTGGACAGCTTGGTCAACGCTTCCAAGGCCGTGGACTTCGAGAAGACGGGTTGGGTTTTCACGGTGCCGATCGCCACGATGCGCTCATGGCATCTGTTGGCGGCTAGCTTCTGGAAGCGCTGCGAGGATGTGATGTTGAAGACCATGGCAATGTTCCTGGCTGCGGAGAGCGGCAAGCTGGCCACAGCCACCCCTACGTGGACGGCCTGCTTTTCAGACGACGGGTACAATGAGCACATGGCCCAGGGCATGTTCAAGGGAAGGCTCGACATCCTTGTGAAGCAGCATAACCAGGTGCATGCATACCTCAGTGACTTCGCCACGGCAGCAGGGAAGCTCTCAATCTGCCCTCGTATGCAAGAGCACAGTATCACTTCTGAAGCCGTGGCCGTGGCTGCCGAGAGCATGAAGCAGTCCAGCATAGCGAGTATCGTCACTCATGGTGTTGATTTGCTGTGCACGTTCCGCCACCGCCCAGAGGGCCCACAGAAAGCGACAGATTTCTTGGCAAAGCACGAAGCGGGCAACCCGACGATCCCCTCGCAGTTCTGGCAGCAGTTCAAGGATTTAGAGTCTCACGCGGTGGCCCCTGTGGATGCGACAGCAAACGCTGGCGGTTCCACTGCAAGGATGTCGGCCAAGGTCGCTGCCCAGGTGACTCCTGTCAAGCGGGCTGTGTCGGAGAGCAGCCTCGCCACGCCCGGCCCCAAGAGTGGCGCCGCGGGCTCGAGTTCAGGAAGCGAGGCAGCGAAGACCAAGGCCCCTTCTGTCGCCGCGCCTAGTTCCAGTAAGTTCAAGCGCGCTAAGCGCGCTTAGGCCCCGAGTGAGGCGGTCAGACACAGAGCGCACGAGCATCGCGTGCATGCATCTAGCTACTGCACACATGCACGACACGTCTGAGCAGTCACGTTCACGAAATACACATGTTAGCACGCTTGCTTGTGTCTGCTCTCAGGGGTTGGGTTTGCATTGCGATGGCTGTCGAGGCCCCTAGCCTAGCGCAGTGCACATCGGGGTGTTCGAGCTCGATGCTCGGCCGTTAGTTGGACCATCATTTGCAGCGAACAGACATCGACGTGCAGCGTGGAAGAAAGAGATATTGCACCAATCACGTCCTGAGCCTGTGCGCGAACACATACCCCCGTCGTCCTCGTCCTCGTCCTCGTCGTCGTCGTCGTCGTCGTCGTCGTGAGACTAAGGACACATTGCAGTTTCAGTGAGCCTTGGCACGAATACATACACACTCATGCATTCCAAATCTTGGCGATCGTGTTCAATATTGAGTCCACGATGCGCGTCCATGCACGGTGCATTTCTGTAAAGGCACGCGTGCACGCTGCCGTTGCTGCTGCCGCTGCTCGTCGTATCACCCTCTCCTCGCCCTAAGGCCCCCTACTACGCCTCTCCTCATCCTCTCCATCCTGTCTCTTCTCCTACCTCTTCTCGTGCACGGCCTCTCCCTCTACCTCCCCTCCTACATACCTCTTATATTCTCTCCTACCCCTCCTTCCTTCTCCTTCTCGCCCTCACCCTCCTTCTGTGCCTCCTGATCCTCTCTATGTTACGCAGGTTCGGGCATCGTGCGGGCATCGCGCGGGCATTGTGCAGTCCCGAGCTCTGGTGTTAGACGCCTGCTATACTCGAGCATTCGGCTTTGCTTGACGTTCGAAGCTTGCTCTTGGACCAGGGTTTCCGAGTTGACCGCCAAAACCTTCCATCAAGAGGAAGTTGCCGCACCCCCTTGACGGCGCCCCCTGCTGCCAGATCTGTGGCTCCTGCAAGGCAGGGGGCCCAGACGAACCCAACCTTTGTTCCGCTTTCTCTCCACCCCGCTGCCCCCTTCCCCTCTCCCCGCGCCGCTCGGGCCGGGCGAAAGGGGGGTATAGGAAAAGGGAGGGGTTCGAAATGTGCTGCATGCAATTGGTTTCGGCGGCCCATTCCTCGATACATGGGCGCCTCCCGGCGCCGGGAGGCGCCGGGAAAATCAGCTACGTGAGCTGATTCTCAAACCCCCCCTTTGCTATCCCCCCCTTTCGCCCGGCCCGAGCCGCGCCCCCCGGCTCCCACATCAGATCATCCCCTCCGCTCTCCCTTCTCTCCCACGATGGGTGGAGAGCGTGACGTTCCCAGACAAGAAATCCATGGACGTGGGGTCTCAGGGTTGGGTTTCTGGTGGCAGGTTCCTCGTGGTCGGGCCCCTAATGTGGGTAAACTGGTGGTTGGAACGAGCTCCTGCCAAGGACGTGCCGCCTCTCGATAGGGGAGGGTTCGCCCTGATGATGCTGCTCTACGTCGTGAAGACGCTGGCCATGCTCGCTGCCCTGATGCTCTTCGTCACGCCCACCAACAGCATTCTCGACAGGCTTGGCATCGCTCGGACGTGTGCTTTTTTCTCTCGGCGAGGACCATCGAGGAGCATCCTTGATCATTTGGCGAAAAGACCACGCACGAAACCGAACAGAAACACATGGAATGGACGTCCGAGCGATGGCCAGCAGGGCCATCGACACTGGGGGCACCCGCTCCATGATGGTCTACATGGTCCACATGGTGTTCATCATGGAGCCGGGCGAGTCGCTGTGCATGGCCAGGTACGTGCATCCAGAGCAGAGCGGGTGTCTTAGCATAGTGTTGCTGTTCATCCTTGCTTTCGCCGTGAACGTGTTGTGCAGCTCCGACTTCACCGCAACCCTCTTCCAGCCTTTGCTAGAACCCTTGGCGACGATAGGGTGCCTCTCTACGAGAGCAGGAGTTGTTTGGAGGATGGTCAGCAACAAGTCGATCTAAGTGCTGCCGCGAGCCCCCACTGCGAGTATTGCATTTCATACGCGTGAGTGATGCGAGCCTCGTATCTCGCATATCACCCCTTCCCAACACCCTCCCTCTTCTCTCCTGCATCCCTCCCCCTCCGCACTTCCTGCACTCCCCCGCCCTCCCGCTCATCCCTCCATGCTTCCTATCCCTCTCTCCCTTCCGTCCGCTCCTTTAACGACGCTGCTCGCTAGAGGGGGGATCGGATCCAGGCCCGCCCCCAGAGGCACTCGTTGTTCTCGAGGCGCTCCCCCTCCAGGGCCAGCGGGCGACCACCCTGTTTGCATGCCGCCGGTGCGCCGAGATCGTCGGACATCCGACACGACGACGCACCGGCCCAAACAAAAGAAGAGCACGAGGATGAAGATAAGGGCAGCAGCGAGGAGGGCGTGGTCTGACGATTGTTCTCCCAGACTCGGTTGCATCATTACGCAACGCTCGTGCTGTCGGGCGGGGCTAGGACGAGGATAAATCCGCTGCAGGGCCTTCTGAAACTCTCCCAGAGCGTTCCAGAACGCTCAAGGAAGGCCGTGGCGCCCGAGACATTCATCCTTCAGAGCCGCTGGATCTCAAAGAGTCTCAGAATATACCCTCACCCGAATTTACCCTCGTCCTGACTTCGTCTTCGCGATGGTGATGGTGGTGGTGCTGATGGTGGTGGTGATGATGATGGTGATGGTGATGGTGATGATGATGCTGATGATGATTATGATGATGATATGTTGATGGTGATGGTGATGGTGGTGATGATGATGGCGATGATGAGTATGACAGTGAAAACGATGATGCTGGTGATGATGACGATGGTGCTGGTAATGCTGATGGTGGTGGTTATGGTGATGCTGTTGTAAATGATGGTGGTGATGATGATGATGTTGTTGTAAGTGATGGTGATGGTGTTTGGGATGGTGATGGTGATGGTATTGATGGTGATGGTGGTGGTGATACAGGCGGCGATCATGATGATGATGATGATGGTGATGATGATGGTGATGGTGATGATGCTGATGATGATGATGTTAATGGTGATGTTGTTGTAAGTGATTGTGTTGATGATGATTATGACGATAACGATGATGATGATGATGATGATGATGCTGATGATGATGATGATGATGATGATGATGGGGTATGATGTTGTAAGTGATGGTAATTGGGATGGTGATGGTGATGGTAGCGGTTGTGATGGTGGGGTTGATACAGACGGCGATGTTGATGATGTTGATGATGTTGATGATGTTGATGGTGATGATGATGTTGATGGTGATGGTGATGGTGGTGTTGGTGATGGTGATGTTGAGCATTCTGATGATGGTGATGATTATGATTGTGACCACCATGCGTATGGTGATGACGATGATGATGTTGATTAATGTGGTTGTTGATGCTGATGATGTTGTAAGTGATGGTGATGGTGATGGTGATAGTGATGGTGATGGTGATGATGAATTTGGGGATGATTGTGATGATGATGATGATTGGGGTGATGATTCATGGTGGTGATATGGATGATGGGGTGGGTGATGTTATGTCGTGGTTCGGGCGGTGGTCACACAGATGGTATGCGGTTTCGGCTCACAGTGGCGACATCGCTGACAGCACGAACTACGTCATGACGATGTGAATGCGCCTTCCTAGTTCTTGTTATCCTCTTCAGTTTTGTTAACGTCCTCTCCCTTCTCTTGTTAGTATTGCATCTTCGAGATGCCAATGTGTAGGCGCGGGCTGCGCGCCAGTGCACCTGGCGGGCCTTCCTCGTTTCTTCCGTTTGGTAGCCGTTCGGAATCAACGGAACGGGTACGGAAAGAATGGGTACAATGCCCAACAGCGGTCCCTGCTCATTTTGAACAGGACTCGTTGTCGGTGTCGCCGCGGCCTGTGTCCATTTGAGACTGGAGGCCGCCTGCCCAACAGCGGCCGCTGTTGGTTTGGGGCAACATTTGTTGGGCATTATGCCCATTCTTTCCGTACCCATTTCGGGCGTCCAAAGTAGTCGTGGGGGGGGGTTGGCTCGCTTTGATGTCCCTTTACAGGCGGATTTCGAAGGGACAAATATCACAGCATATTCAACAATAGCCAGACATAGTCAAACATGGTCCTCAGACTTGTCTCACGATCCTCGAATATTCCTCCTATGGAGGGGCATACTCGACTGAAGGCTCGCTGGTCTAGGCAGTTGGGGAGTGCCCATGGTTACTGGGTGGCTGGGAGTGCGGTGCACGTGCAAGTCTCTCTTGCTAGTGCCGATCCATCAGGCAGCATAGAACCAACACCAAGTCAGTCAGCATGCTTGAGAAAATGCCCGCGAAACCGGCGCACGTGCAGCCTAGGAACATGTGAGTCTAACGTACGGGCATATTGGAACGATTGCGGTAACACCAGACACGTTCATGGTAGACTACGACAAAGCACACACACACACACACACCTACGACGGGTGAATATTTGGTGGAGGCACGTGGCACGCAAGCGCGAAACACGGCAAATGACCGCTTTGAGCGTCCCTGTCTGGGGGGTCGCACCCGTAGCCGAAGTTCAAGATGCCCTCGGCGTCCCAACCACTGAGGGCGGCAGCATCGACATCCGAGGTTCCGCGAGACCTTGGGAGCACGTCGTCGAACAAATCGGTGGACGTGGTGGGCACACCCCAGGCGTGGGCCCGTCAGCCACGGGGGAAGCGCTCGGGGGTTCCGAGGTCTGGGGCGTAGCGGCCACTGGCGACAGTGCCGCAACAAGTGCGGAGGCAAGTCTTTGCCAAGTGGGCGATTCGCTCCCGAAGGCGAGGGCATTGGCGAGGGGAGGAGGGGCGCATGCCCGTGGGCAGGGGGGTCTGAGCCACACGACGGTGTCCCCATGTCATTTCCCTGGCGCGCTTGGGCCACGTCACAGTGGGCCCAACCCTCGACAGGGAGGTTGGGCAGGGTGAGGAGAAGACGGGGAGGAGGAAGGTGAAGGCGGATCGACAGGGTGAGCAGTGATCGAGAGGACGTAGGGAACGAACAGCT